CATCTGAGTCTTTTGCAGTTTGTAGATCTTCGATTAGCGGTTTGAATGTTAGCCTGATTATTGAAAATTTACTGTAAACAACTTACAGGATAGGTTTGTCCTTTAAAAGGTCAACTTAAAAGGTCAACGTTCTGCAATTCCGTAGAATGGTGCAGCATGTACTCAAACTCTGAAAAACGAGGAAAATCGCCTATAAAAACTGTTTTTTTCTACCATTAAACGTTTTCTATTCGCAATGCGAACCACTTCACTCGATAGAACGCGAAAAGGCGCGTCGAATGCATATCTTGTTGTCTTTTGTTGATATGATTTTATGGGGGAAAAGTAGTTTACAAAAACGGCCTACTTTTCGGAAAAAACGAGATTATTTAAAAATTTTCCTGAGAACGTGATCAACATTTTGGAAGTTTTTCTTCGCTAGTGATTTTGTAGCTGTGCACATATAGAAGCTAATCTGACGGCACCAGCTCATGAAAGTATTTCACTAAAAAATGGTGAAAATGCCCATAAAAGGACGGTTCTGCTGGGAAATGGGGTTTCCACAGGTCTAGATACTCCCGAACAAATTCGGTCCGAACAAATTTGTCCGAAATAAATTCGGACAAAGTTGATGTAAACTCTGGTACGCTTTCAAAAGAATCACCCTGTGATTAATTTGATAAATGAATCAGCATACAGTATTGATCTCTCTTGTATTTATGAATGGTTAGTTTATTGCACGATTATGCCTGATGGATTTTCGCTGTTATCATGTATCGCTAGTATACCGTTGTTCGCTCAAATTTCAATCAAGCTCCGCTTAAAATCACAGAATATATTAATAGTTTAAGTGATACTCGTTTAATTATTCGTTTAATTATTGATTATTTATATTATATTGTTCTTTTTGATACATATCTCTGACATATATCTGATGAAGGTGCCAATCGACACCGAAACGTCACATTTTTTCGAATAAAGAAAGATCTTTAATACGGAAGAGTATTTAACTTGATTCAATTCATTATGTCCTTCCAATCAAACAGAAATCAAAACATATCTGTAGTCTAAATATTTGTTTTAACAAAACCGAACATTTCAAACGACAAAATAAATTCATTATGATATCTATTGCGTTTTAATTAATTATTAGTCAAACCTTTTACCAGATGAAAGCATTTCCTATATGAACGGTAAAGATGATTTGAACGATCGATCGTATGAATATTTTTCTTCTAGGTTACACAAAGTAATTACAGAGATAGGAAAACATGATACATTCAAACTCCATATTGGAAGACAAAAGCTTCAAAGTCTACAGCCAGTTCATTTTTGGTATGATAGCCTTTTCTTTGTAGAGATTCATTAATTCCGTTTGTAAACCTTTTAGATTATTCATGATTTGTTTTGTAGAAAAAAAGACGTTTCCTAATGCTAAACGATCTCTCAAAGAACGAGTAATATTCACTTGTCGAATGATTTCCGTTACTGGCCAATTTGTAGATGATGGATCTAGTCGATAAGCCGCATTGCCTGGATAAACATGACGACCTTTAGTTGACTGATTTAACCACCAATTTAATAATGCTGGATAACTTTGCTGTGGTGGATCGATTGCCCAATAGAGTTGTGGTGTCAAATAATCGACAAGACCTTGTTCTAGCCACATTCGACTGTCACAATATAAACTATCATACGATGATAAACCCGATATTCCCGGTGGGTTACCACTTTTCCATATGCCAAATGGACTGATACCAAACTTAATTTTTGGTTTGATAATATGCATTTGCGTATAAAGTGATTGAATTAGATTATTAACATTTGATCGACGCCAATCATCTTTACTGAGAAGTCCACCTTGTTGTTGATAGGTTATATAGGTATTTTGATCGGGAAATTCTGTTCCATCAGAGTAAGGATAGAAATAATCATCAATATGTATACCATCAATATCATAACGGCGTGCTACATCTTCAACGACAGATACAATAAAGTTTTGTAAATCAATAGAGCCTGGATCCATCCAGATGTAACCAGCGTACTTATAGGCATATTGCGGAAAACGTTTGGCCATATGTGTTGGTGCTAATTCATATGTTTCATCTTTGGTTAGAGCACGATACGGATTAATCCAAGCATGTACTTCTATGCCACGACGATGTGCTTCTTGAACGATAAAGGTTAATGGATCCCACAGTGGATTTGGCGCTTGATTATGCGTCCCAGTCAACCAATAGCTCCATGGCTCTAAGGTTGACGCATAAAGAGCATCACCAGCTGGTCTTATCTGAGGAAAGTATAAATGAATAAAGAGAAACGATCATTTCAAATAACATACCTGAAACACAACAGCATTCATATTTAAATTTTGCACCATGTTTAAGATATTAATTAATTCTTGTTGTTGTTGACTAGGCGTACTAGTTTTATTGCTTGGCCAGTCAATGTTGGCCACTGTTGCAATCCAAATAGCTCGAAACTCTTCTATTTCTTGCGTATGATTTACCGAGAAACAACACTTATAGTTAGGTGGCTTTGATTCACACAAACCGGATAAATATAAACTATAGGGACATTGATTTTCATCGATACATTTACCGTAACCATATTGAGGATGGTTATATGTGTCGCAACTGTCACATAGGACACAGGAAAAAGAACATAGTAAAGCAACAGTGATGGATACTAATAGTTTTAAGTAGAGCATAATATAGTACAGATACGATTCTGATAGATGTAAAAAAATCTATTGTTGACTGTATTAAAAAGAAAAATCTATTGTTGAGAAAAAAATGCAGCTGTTCTTCAACATTTAGATTTCGATAAAAAACACAAACGATTTTGTTTTTCGAAAATTAAATAGTAATCTTTCGTTTCAAGGATCATCCAATATAAATATCAATAGTTTTCTTGTCTAATGATAGATACGACATTATATATAGACAGAGCATCATCCATTGTACAACAATTGTGTAGAGAATCTAGTTGTTCGTCTGCGAAACGCGTCTTTAACCTACATATTGTACATCGTTGAAGAAAATGAGTTTTGAACGTGGATAAATAAAAACAATTAAAGCAATTTCTCTTACGTTTTTCTCTTATTAACAACTTCTTCATGTAAGATAAGATTCTATCGGTATAGCATTCAAAAAAGACAAAATAGTAAAGGTAGACAATTAATTGATCCGATAATGAACAGTTGTGTATCAGAATGTGTTGACGATATATTTATACTAAAAAAAGAAAAAAAAAACAATAAACAACAACAATAATAAAAAATGAAATTGAACAATAAATTATTTAACTATTTGATCACGAACGTAGCGTAAAAATTCCACATAAGACATTGTCGATTCGGATTTATCATCCACTAAATGGCGAGTAAATAAATAACGATTTGGACTGTCTTCTCTAGAAATAGTAACATTAATAATTAGTTATTTCAGCTAGTAAGATATCATCAAACAATTATCTACCTTAGAATGTGTATAGCTACACCATGGGGTCTATCTTGTATTAGATATGATAAAAAATTCTGAATTTTTACTGATAAAGAATTATCTAATTCAGGCAACGAATACTAGAAACAGAGAAGATAAATAGAAATTTTAGATAAAAGAGCAATATGTTTGATATACCGAGTCTGATAGTAAAGAGGAAAATGTTTGTACGTTAAACACATTTTGAACAAAATGATCACTAATGGCTTTTCCAATGTAAATATAAATATATTCACAAGCGTCCATAATATATGCACCATGCGAATCAATATGTTGAAATGATAAATGAACGCGTTGAGGTATGTGCACTTCATCTTCTCCATCTTGAATTACGTGATTCTGTTTATAAGAAAATTAACTATATTTTATGACAAAGCAATTAGAATAAAAATCTTTTCTTTTACTTTATCTTCAATTGTATGAATAGGATACAAATCTGGATAAAATATTTGTCTCAAATATTGCGTTGGCATTGTTTTGCATAAACTAAGAAAATAAGCACGATCATCTAAGCGTGAACCAGAGCCAGTACGAAAACCGACCTAAAGGGAAAGAAAGAATTATGGCAATACTAATAATGTGAAATTCATCATTGAATGGTTTAAGGTATTCATTTTGAAGAAATTATCAAACAATTTCATCTTCTGTACGAAATTTATATGATTTTCATCACTTTAGTAGAGTTTTACAAGATATGCCTTATAATACGTACGGATTTTATCATGCTTAACATGTACAATGGTAATAGACGCAATGAGGGTGGAACAAATAAGGTGAATGCACGATTCGATGCGTGAGTTGCGCACGCTTTTAAAACATCAACAGCAACATTGCACATTGCTTCACGAGCTTCTTGTAATGACGATTGTAATGAACGATCGGTCGCTTTATAATAATAACAACAAAATAATAGTACTAACAATAAAAATAACACTGTACTCTTACCCATTTTAGATACGAGTGAAACAACTGCTTCTTGATCCACATTAGTAAATATCTCTGATAAAATTGAGCCCACTGGCAGGGATAATGTATGTACACGAATACGTCGTTCGCCTAAAAAAAGATGAAAAACATTTTGAAGAGATATTACATTGTGTTTAAAGAATACATACTTTTACTCGATGTATATAATAATGCTGCTTGAAATGTCACTGTTGTATAATTTGTTAACGAATCTTCGATCGACACTTGCATACCGAATGCTGCATCAGGATTTATATTTGGTAAAACAAGTAAATCAACCGAGCGTACAAAACCATTGCCATGAAATGTATGAATAGATAATGCTAAAAAGATCGCAAATGCTTTCTTATAGGTTTCTTCGAAACACATAATAGAAGTATGTTTACCTGGTGGACATCTTAGTCTCATAACCGCCTCGAAACCAATTTTACGTTGTAAATAACGACGAAGATCATTTTCAAAACGTTCAACCTCATTTGGACTTTGTACGGAATGATAGCCGGGATAATATTTTATTTCACCGCCAGAATATTTTGAAATACAACCTATAGTAAGTAGATAAAATAATAAACTACTTGTCTATTTTTTAAATAATTAATTATCCTACTTAATGTTGCCAAATCGGCATAATGACTATTCAATAAAAATAAATCACATGCAATTTGTTGTGATGCATAGTCTAATGATACTTTTTTATAATAATCTGATGTTGGTGAAACATTTGTTGGTTCTTTTCCTCCTCCACCTTGAGTCTGTTGTGCTTGTAAACTACCCGGATTTATATTTGGTATTCTTGTTTGAACAACAGTCACTCGTCCACCAGTTGGACTCAATAATTTGAGAGCTATTTGTAGCGCGGCACCGAGTGCCGAATCTGTTTCATAATTTTCTTTAAATGTTTTTGGTAATTCATTTAAAAACGTTTCTACAGCTGAACGATTTTCGCTCAATGTCACCATTAGACCATCCGGCAATGGAAGAAAATCATCTTAAGAAAAAGAAAAAAAACAATGTTATAGTACGACGTACTGATCTAATCGATTCTCTTACTTTCAATATTCTCTAAATCTGGTGCAATCATCATTCGAAATGTTCCATTTTGTCTTTCTGATAAATCATAAAAATGTAAACGGCTATCAAACGTTAGAAAACCAATTTGTGTACGTGCATCTCCAGGTAATACGCCAAGATTTTCATATAAAATATCACAAAATGATTGCAAATATCCTAATAAAAACAAAATGTTTTTGAATTTTTTAGATATTTGTCCAATGCATTCGCTAACCTGTTTGTACAGCATTATGCGAAACATCCAATAGAAATAAATACATAGCAGGCTGTGGTGGTCGTGCCTAAAATACATAAAATTTGTTATCATCTGTGTTCAAATAAATAAAAAATATATACCATATAGTCGGCTGTAGCTGTGTATTCCACAGTTCCGAACCGAACTTCCGGACGTCGAGCTGGATCACCATACGTTTTTGTTACTGGATCAAACAAAAATTCTTGTGGTACTAAAACAAAAGATATACATACATTCATTTTATGGTATCACTTATAATTAAAAAAATACTTACGATTGTTTACACGGAAACAAATACTGCATCGCCAACGTGTATTATCGAGAAAAGTGACAAACGGATTTATGTAAGATTTGCACGAATCACATCGGACAATTTTTGTTCCTTGAATTACACTTAAACTCTAAGCAAATAAATAATATAAATGATTAATAAAACAGGTGATAAAGAATAAGAATACCTCTAGATCTTTGAATGGATGAATTAATATTCCAAATGGTAGACGACTTTTATTTAAAAGTTCTTTGGTTTGTGGTATAAGATTTAAAGTCGATCGCATTACGCTGAAACATATTACGATTATGATATAGAGAGTAATGGTATATGTTTTTAAGCGGACAGTTCACTTACTCAGAACTACAATTCATTTGTTGGTTATCCTCTGATAATAATGAAGATGTTGGAGCTTCTTCGACATAACTACTAACAACGCTTGTTGCTTTTAGCAAATCAATCATTTCGTTATTCTGAAAATACGATACTACCCAATAGATATCACTGTAATTCTGTAGAGTATGGAGAGTTATATTTTACTTACGTAAACGCTTGCTTTATTTTCAATAACGGGCATTGGTGGTGTCGGCAGATAAGAAGGACGTTGAGCAGATGATGTTATCAGCGGTTGGGTCGGATGTTGAGGAAATACTGTGGGAGGATTGTATGGTTGGGGAGCTAGAGATGTGGGTGGAGGAGGAGGTGAAGACGGAAGTGAATTATACGCTGTCGGAGGAGGATACAATGGCCTGTGCTGCAGTGATGAAGATAAAGGAGGCTGCATTGGTGAAGATAACGGAGGCTGCATTGGTGAAGATAAAGGAGACTGCATTGGTTGATATTGATAATTATTTGTAATTGGAGGTGGAGTAAAAGAGTTCGGTGCCTGTAAATACAATATGAACATAAAGAAATGAAGGTTACAAAAACAATAGCATACCATTGTGCCACTGTTATAAGGAGGTCCCATATTCGTGTTTGAAATAGGTGGTGTACTAGGAGCTGAATGACTTTGCAAAGTTTGCTGATAGTGATTGGAATTGTAAACAGAAGGCGGTGGATAAGGCATTCTAGGCGGTAAAAAGGAGTTTGAATTGGTAGAATTGTGTTGTGGACCATTTTGTTGAGATGAAATGGGTGGAAAAACCTAAAATCGTGAAAAATGAACATTTATTAAAGTGCATTCTAAGTTTCTTAAGGAAATGCTTTTAAGGTCAACTTTTCTAGTAGAAGCAAATAATAATACTCCGCATTGCGACTACCATTATCGATGTAGGTGCAGACCGTATCAGTTTCAATAGCCCGATATCATCCCTATAGGTGATAAGCTTGTGGCATGGTCGCTCATGTCGTTACTAGGCACCAGCTGCAGCTATGGTCAGCAGGCTAGGCTACCGCTGAGCTCTCTTCACCCTATTACTTGAGCTCGCCATGTATCAGCTTCTCGAAAGCCACGAAGACTAATTCGTTATTGAATAAAATTGCATTTTTTTTATTTCTTCTTCATTTTCACTATAATTTATATGAATATATTTTTCTTACGTTCCCAACCGCTAAATTTGCTCAAAAGCCATAAAACCAAAACAATTAATATCATCCTGCAGACGACGCAACAAGCAGACTCAAAAGACCAAAATCAAAAGCAATCAAATACGTCAACGGTTGCCGACAATTATTTTATTGAATTATCTCAAAAAAGAAATGCAATCCCATGGTGCCATCAAAATAGTTATTATGAATGAGTCAGCGAAGATGAATATCATTTGAGATGGATAAACAACATATACAAAAGATAGATGACGATAAAATGTGAGATGGGTAGCAACAATAGTATTATATGAACTATCGTTTAGTGATTGTTAATCAAACTTTTCCTTTATTCTTTGTTTAATGTCATATCTATACACTGAACAAGGCAAGAAGTGGAGTGTTTTTAGTTTGTTAGGTAACTTTCTTTCTTTTATTTTTCATGACATTCATTTTTATGCCAGCAAATGGATAGAAAAGTGTAGCGCTATCTCATTGTTTTTCGTTTATTTCCAGTTGTGTCTTTCCTGTATCCGTAATACTCTGTGGAAAAAAAAGTGCTTGCTAACGTTCAAATAGACTTCAATTCTAATTAGATATACTGTACCGGATTGTAATTTTGTTTATCGCCGAATAATGGCACTTGAGACCTAATCGCTGCCATTGAAATGATACCTGAAAAATTCAATTATACAAAAATATCAGAAGTTATATGCACCAACCGCATGTTCAATGCTTTCAAACGGCCATTCAACTGGCCATGTGAAAGCATTAATAACGATCGTTATAAGCAAAAAGTAAGATAAAACAAAAAAGATAAAGAAGGAAAACATTCCAAAACGCCTTAATAGCCGATTGAACTATTTCCAACAAAACTATAACTACTGCAATGCATTTGGTTGCACAATCTTCTGTATTCTCATATTTTGCTTTTCAATTAAAATTTTTTATAATTTTCTTATACATATTTTCTTTATATGCTTCTCTTCAGACACTATTCACTGGGAGACGAACACTATACGTCTTATGTAAAAAAGAAATCCAGTGATTCTACTATTCGTAGCAAAACGCATCAAGTAATAGTTGCGGCACTATTTTTCATCTACTCTGAAACATTTAGAATTTGGCATAGAAACGACGGATGATTCGTTTTTCAAAGTCTGCGACTAAGACACTAGAAAAATTTGACCACGTTATCAGAATGTTGAAAATAGACCAACCAAAAGTAAATAAGACACCGCTACGTTTCAATACTTTTAGAGAGACGGCATATGTAAAAATATTTTAACATAATACTAAAAAGTTTTTAGTGTACATACTCTAGCCGTAAAAGAAAAGATTCTAGTCTGTTGAGTAAATAAAATGAATTTTTATCACTGAGAGTGCTGTATGTGTTGTATATGCATGTCTGTATCACCGAAACAGATGTCAGGCAATACGCAGAAGCAGCAAGCTAACGTGGCAACATACGCAGCAAGCTAGCGTGGCAACATTTTTTTTCCATTTATTGTTTTGTTGAATCGAACTTGTTTAAAGAATATTACATCAAACAACGGTGATAAACTCACATCAACATGCTAGAAACATACATATGATTAGCACGTCATAGACCGAAATATATAAGCCTGAAAACAGAATAATGATGAAATGATCGAAGAAAACAATACTCTATTGCCCGAATGTTGACATATGATATAATGATTAGTCAATGTCAATAGGACATATTGTGAACTGGATTGATTAAGTAGTTTCAAATTCAATAACGAAAACTGAACGTTATAGAAAAAATATTATTAGTCAGATTGTGCATAGTACTTTCAATTTTTAAATATTTTTTCATGGTACTTTTTTTCAGCATAAATTCAAAAGGCTGTTTAATTTAGCCGTTTCTTTTTTTATTATCATTATTCTAATTATAAGCTAAACTTGTATGGCAACAACAAAAAGGCAATAGTAATATCTAAAAAAAAGTGTAATAATACAAGTAAAAAATAGCGATCGTTACAATAGACAATACAGATTCGGTGAGTGGCAAAACTGAGAGAACTAAAGCACCGGTTTTAGTTCTACTCTCAGTAAATTATAAGAAGAGAAAGAAAAAAAAACGAACAATTCATAGTCACTGTTAATTGAAGAGACAATAACAATTACAAAAATATGAAAAACAAAGATTAATTGCACTAATACTGAGAATAGAAAATACGATCGCTGCATAGATTAGATAATAAAAAAATTTAAACAGCTATCAGAACGCATTTGAATTAAAAAGAAAATTATTTACAAAAATATAAATTATTTTTGAACTATTCAGTTGTTTGTTTGTGCAAAAGAAAAATTAGCATTTTAATGTGCGGAAGAAGAAGATGATAGAAGTTGAATATAAAATTTAATTATTATCGAACAACCACTATTTAAATATAATGTTTGGGTGAATGGAACGGATGTTTGTTCTAACATTTTTGAGAAACGACGATCATCACTCGATTCTGGTATTAAATCAGTTAATAATAATGATGTTGAACCTAAACATTCGGGTGGTGAAAAAAATTCATGATCATAAATTGAAATATGAATAATATCCGTATCGAAATCAGTTAACATAAACTGCATAGGTGTATTCCATTTTGGTTGAACACTTCGTTTAACAAAGTGTGTTTTCAATGTTAAATTACCAATAGTTATTTCACAATATGGATCAATACTACCTACAAAATAACACAAAAAAATATAAAATGAAAATGATGAAATATAAAATTCAGCTGCATTTATATTTGACATCGTATTTACAGCTTGTTGATCCAAAAAGCTCTCTTTAAGTTACTTCGAGACAGCATTCAGTCCCCGTGTGATCGACAAACAGCTGTGGTGTGTCTCATTTGGATACAAGTAGTAGAGAGAAAGAGAGAGAGAGAGAGAGAGTAGACAATAAAAGTCTGAGTGCTTCACAAGTTGCACTCTTCAAATCGAATATGATAATATACGAAGGAATATCCAAGCATGGAAACAATTATGTCTGACAAATAAATCTACTAATACACTTTTTTTGATTTAAAATAATTTATTATTTTATACCATTTAAATATAGATGAAAGAGAGAAAGTGTTTCGTATAACACGAAATAATAATAATTCTATTTTTATTTTATGTTTTATTTCTTTAGGTATGGATATGACTTAATACCGTTTACACTGAACATAGAAATACGATTCTTCTGTTATATGCGCATATTTAACGAATAAAAGATTTTTAAATAGAAAAACGTTCAATCAATGCTTACGATGTCGATTAAGTGTTTTAGTGGATGGCATTAAATCCATAGCTTCTTGTACAAATAACATCAAACGTGCAATACTAGGTTTTGATAAACGATTATCTACTAATAGAATAAAAATTAACGTCGGAAATAAAATATTAATGTGTGTGTATATAAATATACAAACCTGTATTTAAAAAAACACCTTTCTCAGCTAAAATTGATTTTTCAGCTAGCAGACATTCTTCAACACTAGCATTGATTGTTCTTACCCATAGTGTTCTAAGATAAAAATACAGAACAACTATAGTATATGAATAAGAAATTTTTTTGAAATTAAAAATTAAAAAAAAATTACCGAACATTTGTTTGAGGTGCTTTCAAGATAATTGGTTTATCATAAATTTTCGTTGTTATAGAAAATGATAATTGATCATTTAATGCTTCATGTGCAGAAGATATATCATACAAAAATAATGGCTAAAATGAGAAAAATAACATACACATTATATTTTAAACAAAAAAAAACAACAACAACATTGTACTAACCCTTTTATACATTTTCAATTGTAAAGTTGTTTTTTGTTCAAATAATTGCGACTGTATGTGAGATGAGGATGATTTTGTAGTAGTAAATAACATAAAATCATTGAATAAAAATCCAACCAAGTCTTTTCCATTTGATGTCTTTAAATAAGTCATAAAAATCACTACTATTTATTGTGCTCTATTAGTTAGGAATATTTTTATATATATACATACTTTTGTCAATAATCCATTTAATAACAATTTTCGGTTAATATTATATTTTGTTAATGAGTTAAAGATAAGATATTCATCGTACAAATACATATCATCATCATTTTCTAATCGAATATGTTGTTGACACCAATCTAATTTTGTTGAACTTTCTTGTTCACTTATTTGTTTATTTATTTCTTCATTTAAATGTCTCGCTTTTTCGTAGGCATCTTTGATTAGATGATAATCATGATGATTAATATCGGTATGTTTTAGAATTTTTTCAATTAATAATGGATAACGTGTTACACGTTGAATTGGTTTCATTAAATATCCATTTAATCCTAAACCACCACATTTTTCTTGAAATTTTTGTAATTGTATTCGAAATTGTTCATTTGTTTCTAATTTTTCTTGTAAATATTTATTTGAATATGTACGAGAATTACAATAACGAAAATAATCTTTATGCATATGTGGTAAATGTTCACATAAAATATTACCAATTAATACATCATCGGAAATAGTAAATGTTGTATTTGGTTGTTGTGATATTGATTGTGAACGTTTTGGAATAATTGAATGAGCGGATGGTGATCGATGATGATGTGAACGTTTTATATTTCGTAATGAGGGTGATGTTGAAATATTTGAAGATGGTGTTAATGAATGATCAGAAGATTGTATATTTAATCGATTCATTCGATTTATATTTGATAGTGAAGATGAACGTAGTGATGATGATGTTAATGGATGTTGTCGTTCACGATCAGACGACGACGATGATGATGATGATGATGATGATGACGGTGTAATTTGTGTTTTTAATGTCTGAAGAAAGGTTTCATTACATGCAATTAAATCATACCAGTTTATGAATAATGAATCAATATCGGTTGACGTTAAAATATTATGATTAGTTGTTGGTATTATAAATTCATTGGCAACCATTCGTAAATCATTTACATAACACTGTTCAGTTTCAATTAGCTCACGAATGGCCGATAAACGAGAGGGATTAAACACAGACTTCGTTAGATTAGTTAACGGGACGGATTGATTTGTTATTTTAACTGAAAAATAAAACAAAAAAAATGATAAAGTTTAAAATCTTATTTCAATATTTAGCAATGGAAACTACCATTTGCAAGCGAAATGTTTATTAAATATATAACAGTTACTCTTTGTTGAAAAAATTGTTTCGTAACTAGACTATAAAAACTCTATTGTAAAATAGTTACTGTTCAATGTTCCTGTTTTATACTTAAAAAGTACATTTTATTATTGTGTTTCATAGCTTTTTTAGTTAGATAACGTACATGCATTACAAACGCTAGCGTTAAAAGCCTTTTTTTTTCTAATCTACATAATGTTTCATGTTTTAGTGGTAATACATCTAAAGCATATACTACTGATGTATTTATTTGTGGGAATATTGTTTGGTCATTTTCACATAATGAGAAAACAACACCTGTTTCAAACATTATGACAATTGTTCAAAACAATAAATGCTGCTCGAGTCCATGCTTGCTTAGAAAAATATAGCAAAATATATGATGTATGTCATATGTTTGTCCAAATAAAAAGGCACATAGTGTCAAAAGAGAAAGGGAAAAGTGTAACAATATAGAGGTCAGTCGAGAAAGATTCAGTCCACTCATCCATAATCAGAGATCGAAGTTTTCTCAAAATGATTAAACAAGGATCAAACACCAGCTACATGCCTCTTTTCTTTCTTTCGGAACGATTAGATTCGTGCGAGAATATATTAATATCATGTCAGATCTTTTTCACTAGCAATCAAATGTCCAAATTAAGTTTGTTACTTACAATGTTTATAGGACAAAAGCATCGTATAACGATACTATAAAAATAGATAGTATATAAACATGGATGACAAGATTTCATGTTTTGAAAAAAAAATAAACAAAGCAAAAAAAATAAAATCCTATTGTCTAATTTGTGAAGAACAGAAAAATAATAGCACTGAAAGTACTTTTTATATATTAGCAAGAGATTTTTCGTTTCCATTTACGTTGGAAACACTTTTTACGAGTGAGATAGATCTTTGAATGGAGAAGAGCTTCATTACTAACAACTAGAAAAAGAAAGAAACAAAAGAAAAAATTGTGATATTCGAATTAATAATTGTAAATCGGCATAAATGAGGGTTTTTGAGATTGGACGAAAAGTCTGAGTAATACAAACACAAATATACAGAAAAATACTGAGAAAACTACATTATGAAGTCAGAAATATGTGATCAGTTATTGTCTTTATAACCAAAATAATTGTTTTTACTCGTTGAGAGCATATGCCTTGAGAAAAAAAACAAAAATTTTCTATTTTTGTTATCTTAAGTACGCACGTATCAACCAACTAGAATGGATGAAAAATGTGTGCTTTTGTGTGTGTGTGTGTGTGTATGTGTGTGTGGAACTATCCTAAAACAGACAAAAGAGAGTGTGTTTTTATGTAGCAACATAGTTCTCATTAAGTGTCCATCTCACTACGTCTATAGCTGAGCTAAGCAATGAATTTTTTTTCTTAAAAAAAAAGCCTACGAAAACTAAAACGATTAAAGATTGAAACTCGGACTTTATTTCCTAATGAAACATATACTTTTTGAAAGTTTTATTAGCTTTTGAGCAGCAAAATCGACTACATATGGGCTATATTTTAACTCGATAAACGTATTACTTTTTTGAAAGCACAAATAGATTGTTCGATAGGAACCAAAAAAAAGTAGATGACTACCACTAAACAGAATATATCTTAAAAATTCAGAAAAATATCCGTGAACTATGCCGATTTAACAAAAATATAAAACAAACAATCAAAAATAATTAGATAGTGATTTGAAATTATTGTTATGATTCATTAAATTAAAACAATTCAATAAGACTTTGCTCGATTAATATTATTATATATGTATGTATTCTATAATGTATTCTATAATTTATAGCATAGATAATAAAGCCACATATCTCAGTAACTATTCTACAATCATTTACAATACATATTTTTATAATAAAACTTTCAGCAATTAAAGCGTGTATATCTACATAGATGTTTGTTGTATGCAAGCGAGAATTAAATGATAAAATAATTCTATTTACCATGTTCAATTGAATTTACATACGTAGATGGAATCAATCCGATTTTATTGCCAAGTTTTGCATTGTACCTAAAGTAGAAAAATATATGATTGATAAAATCTATTTTAAAAAGTATCGAATATTACCATCCTTGACTAGCTTCGTTAATAACTGTAAATATATCATCCTGTTCAAAACTTAATTCATCACTTTGTTGTGCTTGATACGAATAGATCGCTTTCACTTTTTGATCTTGTAAATGATAAAAATTAATTTTCATCTAATAATGTCGAGAAATAAATTTTGCTTACTAGATAATGAATTGGACGTTTGTGATGACAAAGAATTTGACTAAAATACGTATAAGTATTTAGATTTGAAGTTAATAAAAAGAAAACTAAAAATAGTCATACAATTGGTGGTGATAATTGAACGTCAGACGATGATGTTTGTAGCTGAACACAATTGGCGGGAAACCAGCCAACTTGAACAGCTTCACCAGTTCGCTATCAAACATAAAATAATATATTTTTATTATCACTGATACTAGAAAGGTACTTACACGAATCTCACCATGATACCATCCTTTATCGCCTTTTTTACGTATATATATTACTTCACCCACTTCAAGAGATATTTGACCTTTATCTGTTGATTTATAAGGTAAAATAACAATAGCTTTTTCTTGAAAAGGCTAAAAAAGAGAAAAAATACTGGCGTTAAATAAATCATAAAAATTACACTATTATTTTATTACTTTATCAACTTTTGTAACATAATTATATGGAAACACTCCACTTCTATCACCAATTTTTCCTGTCCACCAATCACCATCACGTTTCAAAACTGTAACATGTTCACCGACGCTAAAACTCAGATCTTTGGGATCACTACTAACATAAGGGAATAATGTTTCATATAATTCAGCTAAAAACAGAAAATAAAGAACATTGTAGAGTCTATCCCTTACACATAACGTGTCAGACATTGTTTAAAAGGAAATTTGACTTGTAAAACATTTCATAGTCGATGAATTTTCATTTTAAGATCGATCCATTCTCAAGCAATTGTAACTCATTGTCATCTCCAACAAACATAAATTATAATCCGATCTCACAAGATAGAAAATCATGATGCAAAATACAAGAAGACGAATATTTACGGACGCTGAAATAATTCTAAGTTTTCATAAGAACGAGAATGCATTTATTTATAGTGTTATTCTTGATTTCTTTTTAAACATTTTAATTCCAAAAATAAATAGTAGATAAGCATTAAACACAGAACCAAGATTATATAGTTCGCCAGAAAAGTTAGAAATAGCCAGAGTGTATATATAAATTACGCATGGAGACAGATTTTAAGCTTAAATATCTGTGAATAAATGAAGATATGGGTACTACTAGTAGTGAACGGTATAAAACTAAAAAATGATTATAAATTGTTATGTTTTTGTTAGCAGAAAAAGTGTGCAAATAATGTTTTTATTCGATTTTAGCTATAGTCGTTCCAGTTCTTATCTGTTTCACTCGTTCTACAGACACGTCTTAACTGATTAAGTCAACATCAAATACAATGGGTTATAGTTATACCATCAACATCTAATATCAAGCAGTGGTAGTGTGTTTCTAGGAGCACCAGAACAAATAATATCGTATTATACCTGAAGCTTCAAAACGATTGTTCTGCTATTTAGCTGAACAGAAAAAAACGTGTTACTCATTTAAATAGTATAATTTCAAGAAAAGCGTTTAGTCGTACTTCATAAGCTAATATAAATTGAGAAAATTCATTTACCCATCTCATCATTCAATGGCATCTTGGAAAAATTTTGATAACCATTTGACAGTAATATAATTGGTTTTTCAATTATCGGATTTGCTCTAAAATCAAATAAATTTAAGTAAAAAAGAAAAAAATTAACAATCTTTTTTTACTTTGATAATTGTTTAATCTGATTTATTACAGTTTCAGTTGAGATTGGTACTTGACTTTTAGAATGGTCAAGCTACAAAAGAGCAAAACTGATTACTTTATGTTTTACACTCATGTATAATACACATACTTGCAATGTAGAAGTCGTATCTGGTACTGTAATGGCGTTAGATGTCGAACTAATAAACATATTTAGAAACCTTCAATATTCACAACGTGTAGTTCAACAAAAAATGACTTACTGCTCAACAACAGGTTCAGCATAACTGGCCGGAAATAAACCCTGTTTTTGATTCAATATTCCAAAAAGCCATCCTTTATCTTGTGACATTGAAGGTTCAACCTAAAGAAGACACAACCGTACAATATTTGATAAGATTATTTAGGGGCTAAAATATATTTCTTTAGCTCGAATAGAGAAAGCGAAATTTCTAAAGGATGATTCATGGCTTCACCCTTGGTCCAGTGCTGGAGACGTCACTATACTCATTAAAGTCTATTATTATAAAAAAAATTCAAAAGTCAAATTGATTTTGCGGAAATAATTAATATTTGCTGGATTTATAAATCGAAATAATCAAAAGATTTGTTAATATTTTTTCGATAATCAGTTGTACTCTTGAGACAAAAAATCATACTTTCAATAGCGTGTATAGAAAATTCTAACGAACTATGGATTCGTAACTACAGAACTATAAAACTTTCCAAGTCACATATTATGTTAAAAACTCTCTGACTCCATGTGTGACTAGATGCAAAAAAAGAGAGATACATGATATCGAACCGTAAACATGATACAATGAGACGAGCACAATATTGTTGAGAAACTCCTCTGCAACTAATAACTAGGATAAATTGATAAATGTCTACAGACGCTAGAAACGCTCACTTTGATGAATGGTTCGTTAAAAAAAATAGACGAATGCACACGTATGTTTTGTACTGTGCTCTGTTCTTAATCATTTACGTTTGTGTTCATTTACGCAAACTTGCCAAATTCAAAAAAAAAGTCTAAATAGTCTTGCTCATTCATAAAGAACATTTAAGAACATCGCTTGTGTCCAATTTTAGCTGATATCCTTCATTTGGATATCTTTTAAAAATGAGCGGACAGATAAACGCGTGTTTATGTATGCGTGCATATCGTCTTAATGATGCTTGTGCAATATGTGAGCGAGCAAAGTGAAAAGCTCATAGTTATGCTAGAATCTAAACTTTCGTATGAACAAAAACTATTTGGTCTGTCGCTTAATAGATGTATATTACACTTACCTTGGCCTTCTAAAATTTAAACAATACGAGAAAGTGAATATGACTGAAGAAGAGTGTATAAAAAACGTTTACTCTCTCATTCACTCATGAAAGTCCAGTTCCTTAAATAAGCGAATTAACTTACCAAAATTTCATCATCAATCGAAATAGCCAATTCATCTTGACGTTCTGGTACATAATTAAAGATAGCACGATACTTTGTTAAATCTAAACATAAAACGCCAACTTATTTTAACATTTATTGAACATTAATAATTTACTCTTATAGACTGAGTTATCAGTATTTGTAAAATTAATATCTATCTGCTGTTGTTGAGACCATTCGGTTGTGGAGGAAAATGTATCATTTTCATTGATTTGTGATGTATTAAATGCTTTCCAATTACTGTTACCACTATCGAAACCATTACTTTGCTTCGAAGCACCACCCCAGGAGTCAAACGCTTGCTGTTGCTGGGATTGTCGATTATTTTCTAATAGAAAAATTAAAGATGTTTATATCGAACTGTTTGATGATAATTGACTCAGTTATCCAGAAGACGTGATTCAAAAATAAAACGTCGTTAAATCAAGTTAATGAAGAAGCCAAATATTATCAGAGAAGTTAATAAGAAGCAAGGACTCAGTTACTGCGAACAGACAAACCTTGTATTGAAACTTTTCGAGCGCTTTTTTTGGACACTATTTTAGGTGGTAAATTAATGATTTGTGCAGCAAATGGGTCCGTTGTTGATAGAAAACTATTATCAGTTCCGTATTTCGCACTAAATGGATCATCAATCACTTCCGATACATTGCCTTGAATTGCAGCATTTGATTGTTGAATCCAACCGTTATGGTTCTTTTGTGTTTGTTGTAGTTGTTGGTCAATATTATTTGATGTAAATGGATCAGTAGTTTGAAATGGATCATTCTCGATGACATCAAAAGTGGACGGTGATGTTAATATTTTGTTTGAATTTTCAAAATAGTTTTGTGTTTCCGCAGTAAGAGAAGTAGAGCGAAAGATATTGTAATTTGCTGTACGAGTAGAAAAAAGCAACAGATGTTAGCGCTGTTAAGCAAAGAGAGAAAAAAATGAAAAGCTTACGCAACGATGAAAGAGTTGGCGCAGGAGTGATGGCTTTCCTACAATCGTACACAATTAGTTATTTGATGTAGCACATAATATATTCAAAAAAAAATACTCACGTTGTATTATCGTTTTGAACTCTTGCTTTTGCTTCATTTTCCAACTGGTTTAATTTAGTACGAAGTTGCTATTTAAAAAGTAATCTTATTTACACAATATAGTTAAGTGTAAAGAGACGTACTTCCATTGTGTTTCGAAATTCTTGACAGCTAGCCGATATTATTGTAATTTGTTCATCTAAGCGAACATTTTCCGTTTTAAAATGTTCTATTTGGCCTTTTGTCATCTGTATCACATCAGATTCACGATTTGTAGTACCTAGAGTATGTCTCGAATTAAGCTTTTTTTATTGATAATACGGAGGTAGTATTGAACAGATGCAAGATGTTTAACGGATGATAACACTGTAATTGTCTGTACTACACTCTAGGATTACGATATAACTCACATAAACTTTGATCTCACATTAAACATTACAATGAGATGTGATGAATCTCTCCAAAATACAGTAGTTTCTTGTTCAAAGGATTGCTATACGTAACAGATTCTAGACACGTACTAAATTCTTTTGATTGATTGAACTGTTTTAATGACGATTCGAGAATTTCTTTTTGATTGAGCGTTGTTGATAATCGTGATATCAATTCCTAAATAAAAATTAGAAATCAGTATTGTTTTTTATTATTAGTATATCGGTGAACTATATCAATTACTTTTGTTGTTTGTTCTAACGTTTCTAACTCTGTCTTTTGTATTATTGTATCTTCTTGAATATTTGATATAATATCGTCAATGTTGTGTATAGAATTATTTGTTTGTTGAATTTTGTTTTGACAAGTTTCTATTTTATCATCTATACTTTGTAATTCTGATTCAATACCTTTCTCACGTGATTTAATAGACTTAATTTGTTCGGATAAACGTGATTTTTGTGTTAATAATTCTTGCATACGTTGATATACCCATTCCAAACGCCGTTGACTTTCCATTTCTGTACGTGCTGTCTAAAATTTACAGAAAAACACATAGATCTGAAGGTATTTTGATACTAAATATGAATAAAATGTTTGGCACAAAAATTGTCGAACAGTCATACATGTTTGATTCGATATTGTCACGTACAATGTACGATTTAGAACAATATATGTATACTGCTAGTTTTTATGCCAGTTTTTTCGATGAAATGAAACATTTCTAATCGTTATTTTAATTTAGCATGGATATGACTCGGTAGCATTTTATTGAAATTCAAAACGCGATCTTCTGTCCATGCGTGTGCGAAATAAAATAATCACCTACTTCACGTTGTTCAATTAATTTTTTTCTCTCTTCTTCTCGTTGTTGTTCAATTTGCCGTTGACGTTCCAATTGTTTTTCTAATCCTAACTGTTTTTTTCTATCTTGTTCATCTCTTTGTTTTAGTAATTTTTCTTCTCTTAAACGTTCTCGTTCTAAAAAAAATATTTTTTTCAATAAATAAGTCTTACAAACATGGTAACAATAATATTGGTCGAAATTTTTAACCTTCACGTTCTCGTTGTTCACGTTCTTCTATTTCTTTTAACATTTGTCGTCGTCTTTCTAATTCTTTAATACCATCTTCATAATTCATCCGTCGTTTATCTTCATATGACGTTGCACTATTTCGTCTATCTGTTGATGATAAATTTGATGAATCAGCCGTTGATGCTGATGTAGAATCATTAGATGTTGTTGCGCTTTTTGGTCTTGCCGTATCCGTCGTTTTGAAAGTATTAAATTCTGTTGAAAATAACGTTGCGTTTGGTTTTAGTCCATCAATACTTCCAAATGATAATTTTCGCTCTTGTTGTTGCACACACCATTCATCCGGTAAACGTGCGGGTAATATAGCACCTGTTTTGATTATTTCACATGAATGCATTGCAATAGCAAACTCATCCGCTGTTAATTTACCATCTTTATCATAATCGGCTAATGACCTAGTGCATCAGTAAAATAAAGAAAAGATAAAATTTCAATATGATCCAAAAGGTATACATGTACCATATTTGACGTAAAATAGATTGAGATAAACCAGTTTGTTGTAGAATATTTTTTGCTTGTAAACCGCTCATAAAACCATTTGTTTTTGTTATATCGACTAATGCATGGAACTGCTGAAAATATTTTGCACGTAAGGCCGGTGTGAGTGGAGGCAACACAGTTGATGAAGTACCAGATTTTACTAGATTACTAGAATGAATAGAAATAGAGAAACAAGCATAGGGAAACAGTAGACAATCAAACACTAAAGAAACATCCACATACCCAGTGGAAAGAGCATACGGTGGTACAGCAGCTAAAAAAAGAAAAAGTGAATGAACTATATAAATTTATATTTTTTAATATTTAATATTTATATTTTTTTTATATTTTCTTATATTGAGAGCACTAGAAAAGTGTACTAAACAAATAAAGCACAGCAATATCAATTAAACCATCTTTAGAAAGAACAAAGCAAGTTGGTTACAGAGGAACGTTACATGTTATTGGAAAAATTATATTTGGTGCCCTAACCGAGAAGAAAGGTATGTCACACATATGAGACGTTGTGTAAACTAAAACTTTGATTCTTCGCTATTATCTGGAATTTTCTGAAATAATTAATCGCGTATCAGTCAATCGAAGAAGACAAACAGCATCCAGAAGCTCTTCGAGCGCAACATAAAAGCGTTAGATTCTTCCAATCTTTATATCTTACTGTGATATTTTTGTACTCCTTAAATTATATTTTAAAGGAATTCGAAATAATAAGAATAAAGGACAAATCTATAGATCTTTACCAGTTATTGTTAACGGGGCTGCTATTGTAGATGATGGAAATGTCGCATATCCCATCGAAATTGATGGCCTAAGTGGTTTTGTTGACGGTGTACTAGGCACTAACGAGAACATTGGCGTCATACAGTTTGTATTTTTCAACGACGCAAAAGATCCATTGCTTGCTGTTAACGATTTCAATGTATCCGTTAACAAGGAAGATGGCAACGTAGATGGTAAAAGAAATTTCTTTTGTACCTTAATACACAAATCATAATACTACAGATTTATCACTTTTCCTAACCATAAATTTACGTACTTGAGACGAAATCAAATAACAAGCAATGGCAAATTCTCGTCGATCTAATCGACCATCTGCAGTTAAATCTGACAAATCCCTGAAGAAAAGCAGAACTATATAAATAGGTTTGATACGTCTTTCTTTTCGTAATTACACATACCAAATTTTTCGTAGTATATCTGCCGATAAGCCTGATTTGAGAAAGAATTCGCGTGTTTGATCTCCTAAAAGTAGGGCATATGTTTAAACACTGACTGTTAATATATTATTCACGAGATATGCTAGGTTCGCTGATAAAAGAAGAAAAGTGTTCACAAACCTGTTAGAAAGCCTTGCATCGGTCGAAGAGTTTCAAAAAACGAATCATATTTGAGTCGTTCGTCTACAGTTATAAGCCAATCACCTAACAAATATAATGAAGATTAACAATTGAGTAAATTAAAGAAAAGAAACGCACCTGCCATCAATTGTTGCCTGATTTTTGAACATAACAAACAACATTTACGATCACATCGTACAAAAGAATTGATACTTAAACAGAGTAGCAAAGCATCTTAGTTAACTGAACAGGATTGTTAGGATGGAGTAAACAAATCTTCTAAAATGGATTTCGATCAGCAATATAACAGATTAGATAGAAGACAAGAGTGAAGACAGATCAATAAATCAAGATTACTGATTACGCAGCCTATCTAACAATCAATTTAAAGTATTTAGAAGTTGAATAAATTAACTGAGCTAAACGACTGAGAACGAATACGAAATTAAGCTGTTCATGTAAAAAGTTTATTAGTCTATTTTTATGAATCGCTAGTAGATGGCGTTACTATCGCATCAGAATACTAAGAGCAGTGAAAGCGAAGATAAATGGCACTTTGTATATCTCTCTATTAACACTTTGTTATGAGAAAAGAGTTTAATTTAGTTATTCAAAAATGTTTCACTGATTCTAAACCAAAAATATGATTTTTCGCATATAGCAACGAGAATCATTCATGTTCTTTCATGTTACTCAAAAACCGACGTGCGGTGACCACGGCATTTTTTCTATATTTTATCTATACACACGAACGCCAAAGTCTACTTTCTAGTCATCTACGACGCGAACATAGTTGTCTGCATAGGGATTACGTTACATTCGCACAAATCGTTTAAAGAGCGCTAGTAAATCTCCATTGTCATAGCACGAACGCGATAAACTCTTATTTTTAAAAAATGTGTTTAGTTCACGATCGCGGTAGCCCCAATATTTCGTACTTGGATGGTGCCGAAGTCGCGCTATGAATTGCGATTAGACAATTTTTTGAAAAAAAGTCTTAAAACCATGTGGCGATCGTAGTTGCAATATAACTGGATACTAATACCTGATCAATTTTGCCCATCAAATAATTTAGATCAACGCGTAAACAACTGTAGACTACTGTAAAATCACTTTATACTGTACTTTATTGAATATAAAAAAATATATCTTGTTTTTTTGTCTGTTATTATCTTTCCATTTTTTTGATTTTTTACATTTGAGATTAATACAATTTGATTTTTAACGTTGAGATTTTGCAACTATTGCAGTTTATTTCATAAACTAAATTGAATGTTCAAATTGATACTCGTACAAAACTGACTTTGTGTTTTTCGGTAGTTTTAATTTTCAATACTATAATGGCTTTACAACTCCTGGTATCGTGAAAGAGTAAATCTTACATCATATCAGCAGGATAAAATATAAGTGTGTAAAATAAATTTTCAACGATATTCAGATTTATATCTCTGAGAATATACTGAAAAATAGCAGTATTTATTTGCTATAACCCGTTACCTGATCAGTACATGTTTGTTTACTTTTAATGAGAATTTTTTTATTTTTTCAACAACGTATAATAGGAAAAACAAACATATCTATGACAAATTTGATTTGCACTTGGTATGGCTAACAAATTTATAGTCTACATACGAAAAACAATGCTTATACATATCAAATATCCATTTGATTTAACAATCCATTAGATGCTTATAGTTCAGGTGGGTATAATGTAATATCGATCCATCTTCATCCACATCTAATCATAGACCACGTTGTTTCTAATTCGTTGCTAATTATTTTGATCGTTCTCGCATTCGTCGTCGTTTACGTTTGAGTCGTCGCATACTAAAAATAGAAGGCAAAGTAAAAGTTACGATTGGCATTTTAACATTGCTCTAATTCATTTTTTACCGTTTCTTTCTCCACTTAGCACGCATATTATCTGCAAAACAAAAGAATAAACACATTAGCGAACAGCATAAACAGAAATATAGCGCGTAGTTACTGTTCAAATAAAAGGTTCCGAGAGAAACAAACTGGTGAAGAAAACTATGAACTTTACATTTTACACTTTAGAATATCGTTTCCATCGTTATAAGTCAGTTATTAAGAAACGTTTACGCTTAATTTTCATTGACTAGTTAGCTCAAGTGAGGAAAAAATGGAACTGCAAAAATTCTCATAATGGTCGCAAAAAAGCCTAGTCTACGTCAAAATGAATGTCAGTCAGGTCGAAGCACTTGAAACTTATTCTGATCATAAACGAAAGAGGAATGAACTGAAGTTGAACGGGAATATATCAAATCCTTATACTAATTAATATCCATACAAACTTAACTTTTCGGTAAAAGTGTTCAGTGATGGATACTCCTGATTTGCACATAATAAAATATGATAAAAGAAATATAGCAATGACGCAAACCAGGCTTACTACCATCAAGTCTGGCGAGGTAGAAGCTCATGAAGCAAAAAGTTTTTTTCTCTTTAAGTTCGAACATCAAACATTATATACAAAAGGGAGAAATAGCCCAAGCAAAAACGATCCAAGTTTTTGGGTTATTTATCTAGATTCAGTTCCACGTGTATCTAGATGTACGTGGGCTTGAATCCAGATAAATACCCCATAAGACTGGATCGTTTGTGCTTGGGAGGTGGACACAATCGTTAACCGATGATCGCTCCAGCACTGAATAAATGAAATGACCTGTATGTATTTGAAATTGTCAAGCTAAAAGCTGTTATTTGAAATAAAACGAAAGAATTACGTACTGAAGTGTGATGTGAAGAGAAGGGAAACCTATAGACTTTTTTTTCACCGTTGCTAATTGGATGATCGCAAGGGCAAGTTAACTGTAGTGATATCACAAAAAAAAATTATAGAAAATTAGCGACAGGTTGGCATAACTTTTTGAACAGATTAGAGGGACATATAACGCTTAACAGAATTTCTCTATGATATCAAGTTATTTATGCGCATAGCAGATTGTTCGTCTAAATTGTAAGGACATTATGGTATATATTGACCAATCAATTCTATTCTGTTTTGCTCTCAAACATTTACATGTATTATAGATATGTAAAAGCAATTTTTTATGAATAGAAATAGAACTGAAGCTTGCCTCACCCGCTTGCTATTAAATTTCGGATTCTTGGATCGAGATTTCCATGTTTTTTAGATTCTTCCTTTATTTTTTCTATGACCTATCCTCAGGAATTTACTGTTGTTTTTTACAAATCAGCTAGAAGCGCGATACTTGAATGATGGATCAGATGGGCTTTTGTTTAATGCGAAAATACGATTCCCTACCCTCACAAGAAATATAGAATAAAGTCGATCACCTGAGTCATTTAGCTCAGATTTATCGAAAAAAACTGTTTATATTGTATCTAATTTTATTTACTTTTTATATTGAAGATACATATGGGTAGAAGGAAACAATCAGACGAAATAGGAAAGCATCCTGTACGTGGACCAGGAAGAAAAGCAAAAAAGCAAGGTGAACCAACATTCTCTAAAGATTTACTTCCAAAAGGTAATCAACTATTTTCAATGTACTATTTTCAGAACTTAAAATTGTTCGTGTTCTCTTAAGATAATGCTGACAAAAAATCATCGAGTCGTGCCAAAAAACGGTAAACAATCCATTATTCTAAACTCTGGTTAGCTGTAGCTGTTGTTTCCTTTTGGTTAGTTTAGTGCTCGCAAACGCTTGCAAAAAGAAAAAATTCTAGAAGAAAAAAGTCAGCAACAAAAAGAGAAGAAACAGAAACAAAAAGGTGAGTGTTGGCGTTTATTTAACGCACAAATTGTACTATGATTCGTATTTTTTATTAGAAAAGAAATTGGTTGAAACGAGACATTCGGATGGTGAATCGATTCAAGATGAAGAAGACATGAATGGATATACAGATGAAAATCAACAATGGCTGCAACCCAAAAAAAATCTCAAAGTTAGTTGATGTCATAGGATAGTGAAATGAAATGTGTTTATTAATGTATTGTGTTCAGAATTTGTTTGGAGATGATGACAATCAAGATGAGCAGGGACCAAATAATAATGAAGGATACAATGATGAATTTGACCCTGAGGATATGGACGATGATAACGATTCTGTAAGTGATGATGATGATGATGATAAAGAACATCCAAAGCTTGCTATTGAAAAACAATCAACAAAAATACGTGAAAAACAACGAAAAACAAAAGAATTATCTGAACAAGAATTATTAACAAATATTGAACAACATGAAAAAGTACAATTTCCATCTGGACAAGAAGTGACAAAAGATAGTAAGAGAGTTTGTTTAGCAAACTTATTATACAGACAATGAGTTATTTTGTGTTCTTTTATCCACAGGTGTGCCTCCAGCTGATCTCCAATTGTTAATGCATCGTATAAGAGAAGTCATTAATGTGTTGAATGATTTCAGTAAAAAACGTGAACAGACTAGGTTCGTATTGCAAACGTAGATACATAATATTCTTATATTATATTGGTATTCTCTTCTACACCATAGAACAAGAAAAGATTATCTCGATTTACTCAGGCAAGATTTATGTAGTTATTATTCTTATAATGATTTTTTAATGTCAAAATTAATTGAGTTATTTCCATTAGCTGAAGTAAGAATTTCTTGTTTACTGAATGATTTTGAGAAAAACAATTTTTGTTTTAGATTATTGATTTTTTGGAAGCAAATGAAGTACAACGTCCTGTAACTATTAGAACAAATACTCTCAAAACACGTAGACGTGATCTGATGCAATCGCTAATCAATCGTGGTGTGAACGTTGATCCATTAGATAAATGGACAAAAATTGGATTGGTCATTTATAGTAGTCAAGTACCAATCGGTAGGTTATGCCTCTATCTTTTTGTCTATTAATGATAAATATATTTTCTTTTTCCAATTTTGACAGGAGCAACACCAGAATATTTGAGCGGTCATTATATGATCCAGGGTGCATCAAGTTTTCTACCAGTTATGGCATTAGCACCACAAGCAAGTGAACGAATTTTGGATATGTGTGCAGCACCAGGTGGAAAAACGACTTATATTGGTTAGTATGTTGACAAAATTTATCGAGAGAGAAGAAAATGTTCGACGACTAGTTTGTAGTTTCGCATAATAATGCCAAGATGATACATTTTGTATTCATTTCAAGTATTTTTTCTGCATTGAGAAGAGGAGAATATTGTCAATTTGTTGTTCATGAGTAAATATAAGAAGTACGCGCACATAAAAATAGTCTTCATTTGGATCTTTCCAGGAGACACTACTCTAAATGGTCAATTTTGGTAGAAATAGTCTATGCTGATATGTAGATTATTTTTATCTCTTTTAGGTTCGTTAATGCATAATAGCGGTATATTAGTTGCAAACGATGCAAATAAAGATCGAGCACGGGCTGTAATAGCTAATGTACATCGTCTTGGTTTAACAAATACGATTGTAACGAATTTAGATGGAAGACACTTTTCAGAGGTAAACTTATTGTTTGAAAATAATATATTTTTTTCGATTTGTCAAAGTTTATATTCTTTGTAGCATATGGGCGGATTTGACCGTTGTCTAGTCGATGCGCCTTGCAGTGGTACAGGAGTTATTTCAAAAGATCAAGCTGTTAAAACTTCAAAGGTTTGTTATCATTTCAATTTTTATTTTTATTACAAAATTAAAATTAATTTTAGGATGCAAAAGATATTCAACGATGTTTTACCTCTCAACGACAATTATTATTAAATGCTATTGATGCTGTTAATGCAAATTCAACAACAGGTGGCTATATTGTATATTCGACATGCTCTATACTAGTGAGAATTTTCATCTGACAATGAATTTCGACGATGCATCTTTACGTAATTTTTTAGATAGAAGAAAATGAAGCGGTCATACAATATGCATTAAATAATCGTCCGGTTAAAATTGTTGAAACTGGTTTAGAATTCGGTGTTGAAGGATTTTCAAGGTATGCATAGAATTGTAAACAGTTTGTTCGGCTTCCATGCGTTTTGGATATATTTTTTTAGTTTCAAGGGAACAAAATATCATCCATTAATGAAACATTGTCGACGATATTATCCTCATTTACATAATTTAGATGGATTTTTTGTTGCAAAATTAAAAAAGTTGTCAAATAAGGCAGCAACAAAAAGTAAAAATAAATGACAAGTTTTCTACTAAATATTTAAACTATGGATTTTTTTTCTTGTTGTAGATGGTGGAATTGTTTCCGATGTAACTCAAGTTGAAAATTCAAAACTTGATTGATAGGTTTTGTTTTCGTGTTTATTGTTTTGTTGTTGATTACTTTTGTCATGGTTTTTTTGAATTACAAAGAATAATAAACTATGTGTTTCTTTTCTATCCTGATTTCTGTCTAAACGCTGAAGTATATGTGGCAATATCATGGGCTATATGCATTAGCTTGCACACTCATGTTTTTTGCTTTAAAACTTTTGTTTCTGTATTAATCTGCTCCTACTTGATCAATCTTACAGGCAATTCAGATATATAGTATGTTTATTGTGTTTACTATTCTACGTCTTGCCAGTTCTTTTCGAAACCGTGTGAACTGGTTCACTTAGCAGCATATTGAATGTCATAGCAAATTCCATTTACCTTCTTAAAAGAACACTTAAGAAATCAAATTTGAAAAGTCTGATTAATTAATAGTTAGAATGTAGAAGGGTTCTATTAAAATAAGGAATTAATGACCTTCGAATAGGTGTGCTTCGGTTCTAGTTAACTTTTTTGTTTCAGATCGATGCATATAATTTCCATTAATTGAATTAGACCAAGAGACATTCTGATGTTCAAATGCTGAGATCTATTATAGAGTCAGCAGTGAACTCGTTGTCTTCCACTGTAACTTCTGCCTTGGTTCCCGTTCGACTTCCTTATCTAAAATACGTTTAATTTCGTCTGAAAAAGGAAAGAACGAATTACAAGAAATAATTGTATGGCAATAAACTAAGAACATTTATACCGTAATGTTTTCCAACCTCTGCCAGATCCCAAAATGTTTCCACATTTTCATTACAAACTAGTCTCAAGTTTTGATCGATTAACGTTATACAATGTACTTTCGAGTCGCAACGATCAATCTTAAATAGACTCAGTAGAGGCTTTCTTGTTTTGTGCTATCTATATACAAAATATCAATAAAGATAATCACAATCGTATGCAAACAATAATCCACTGATTTTTCTTTAATAGGAAAAACCAAAGTTTTCGATTACGATTTGTAACCATCACCAGCTATAGTTTACAATAAAAAACAGACAACTATATAGACACTCACTCGTTTGTCGTTTTCATTTTTCTCTTTTCACTATTCACTCACTTTTTTGTTGTTTTTGTTCTGATAAACATATATTGAATACTACTATGATGATGTTGGTTACAGATCGTAATCGAAAGCTTCGGTTTTTGCTGTTAAATAAAAATTAATGATTGTTGTCTGCATCCGATTGTTATTGTCTTTATTGAATTGTATTACAACAAACAAAATATCAACTAACTAATGATGGATGTGCTACTAATTCTTTTTCTCTTTCCCATGCTTCAAGCCAGTTTGACCGTTGTTGTTCCTCCTTTAAGGTTTTTACATTAAAATTTTTATATTCGTTTACTGTTCCCTTTTTGTCAAGATTATCTTCCATCCATTTTAAAATGTTAACACGTTTTTCATTTAATTCATCGACATGTTTTTGAAGTTCAATTAAACTAGTTTTATCTAAATAAGCGGGTGTTTTATTCGTCGCACATATACTTCCCATCAAAATGGTACTGAACAAACGTGCCCTATTTTAAGCATGAATTACTATTAAAATTGACATTCAAAATTCGAACACTACACAAAAAACAACTAAAAATGATTCTATCATTTAAAACGAAAAGACAGTTTTTAACTCAAACAAGTATGGAGTAACATAACAACCATTGGTGATGTTTCTATCAGTTATATAATTTAGAAATCTATCGCCTCGAAGTCCATGGGATACTTCTTGTGTTTTCTAAGTTTTCATCATAGGATCAATATACACTAGATTCTTTATTGTCGAATCAAATTAATATTAAATAACGTTTTTTTCGTCAACAACGTCATCACATTTCTGCTCACTATATTATACAATCGCTCCTGCTAGTAATCTACACTAACATATTGAATAGAAGAAGAAATAGATCTGAATTCAACGAATCTTTCTTAATAAAAACAATCGTTCAGTGAACAAAATCTTCTCAAAGTTTACAAGAGCTAGGTAATTTTCTCTACATCCTTTCACTTGTGATCAATACAATGTCGTTAAGGCTATCGTCATTACGGCGATTTTCAATCTAAAACTGAAGGCTAACAATTTTACATTTATAAATCTAGAGATATAATTCAACTTTGTATACTTGAGTTGAAGTTTAGTCACGATATATGATCGATAGCATTCTCTTAGTTAAGATCAAACAGAGTGCTTTTTAAAATAATTTAACCTGTTCAGAAATAGTCGTGAGTTGTACATACAAATAGATTCATGAAGAAGGAATAAAACAGTCAGGAAGTTCAGTCAAGAATAAAATTCGATTCTTTTTCGAGAAAAGTTGATATCTTAGCTTGTACATCTTGTGGTACTTGAGACATTAATTGTAGAATTTGTTCATAATCTGAAGTGAGATACACCAAGAACTATTGTGAGAATTGTGTGTATAACTAATATCAAGATTCTTTCTAATATTGTCCCAGCTTTTTTTCGTTCTCAGCAAAGAAAACTGAAAAAAAGTTGAATGTCTGTGACGCTATTTTTCTCCATGGAACAATTTCGACTTTTAAAATATCTTCATCTTACAAGATGAAGAGACAGTATACTGTCTCGACGTCTTTTCAAATGGATTGTGTGAAGAAAACCAAATTAATTTCGATTCAGTTAGTTGATAAGGAAATATAAAAACATGGAAAAAAACAATGCTTGTTGATTTACTTATTGATATAATAAAAACAAATGCAAAGATCTTCTAAAAGAGCAATTTTAACGAGATAAAAAATAATACTATGGCTAATTTTTATGAGTTTTACTTAGTCTATACTCGATAATTACTTGTTTTAATTATAACGAATTGACTTTAACAAAATTCAGATTTTTCTTCATGAGTATTTAAGAATTCAAAGGACCCTGTCGGATTTCAAAAGTATGTCGAACCAGAAAGTTATATATCAGATTTTGTAGAGCTTCTCACGACGGATCTAAATCTGTATTGGGTTTGGGTTAATACCTTCTGGTTACCGAGATCTGGGTGTCGTCATGTTTTTGGTCTTTAATCGGTATTGATGTACGAGCAAGAGTCGAGATTCGGTAATGTAGTACAATGAGATGTTGTCTTACCCATATTCTTGTAAAGCAATGAAAACTGTATAAACTAGTTCGGTAATGAGCAATAGAGACTAGTTCTCCTAGGAAAAATGGGTCATTTATGAAAAAAAATCGGGCATACCCATATTACATGTGCGCAGTAAAACAAGGTATATTTTGGATTTGAACTTGTTTTTTTCTGGTCTGATTTACTTATCAAACGGTTTTAACGTCATATTCACAATCCACGAACAAAATTGAGTCGGATGGAGTATTATACATATGGTCAATATCTTGACTAGTGGAACCAGTCACCAAAGGCATGCAAAAAACGCGTTGGACTACGGAAAACAGCTGCAGAATACTCTTTTAGAAGTATTTTCTGTCTTAACTGAAAAACTGAACTATAACAAAAGAACACTATTGGATAGCCCGTGAAATTCTCTACAAACTGAGCTGGTCAAAATATGGACTAGTCAATTGAGCGCAGCCAAAAAGTGAGATCAGTCATTAAAGCGTTTGAGTGTTATATATGCAGCAGAGTTGGAATCGGACTAGGGACCGGTTACCGGTTCGGTTGAACTTTTCAACCGGCCAGTTAACACCAGTTTTTGTCGGTTTTTTCACCAGTTTATTTCCTTCTTCATGAAAAATCAGTCAGAAAAAAAAGTTTTTCTTCTTCATTAAAACGTGATTAATCTATATTCTTTTTCCTACTGAGTTTCATACATCATCAGAAATTAGTCCGCAAATTTTTCTTCGTTTCGTATTGGGTTGAACTTCGTGCTCAATACCTCACGTTAATACTGAAATAACCAGAACAGGAAGATTTTGAAAATACACAAGCCTTAGCTTTCTGCAAAAAATCGGTTTTTCACTCTATCTGCCACATTCATGTGGAGGTCTGAATCCATCTGCGTCTATGGAAAAAAAAATCTTTACTGGAAAAGAGTATACCAAAATAGGGTATATTTTGGACTTGAACTTGGTGTTTTCTGGTCTGATTTACTTATCAAACAGTTTTAACGACATATTCGCAATCTACGAACAAAATTTGGTGTTATATATGCAGTACAGTGTTTCATAATCAGAAAACTGTTTTGTTTTTGATTTTCGTCATTTTATGAGAAAACTTGATAATAGGGTTTCTGAAAAACCCGAAGGTTAGAAAACCAAGTCTTTGATCTATGGTTTTCGGCCAGAAACTTTGCGAACCATATAGCTTATAGAGCAAAGAATTCTGAGCAAACTAAGATATCTGCCGACTGTCTATAACACTTTTTCACCCAGCTGTAGTCGATTTACCAACGACTACAAAGGCTGTGAAAATTACAAAATTAAATAATTAAAAAACTTAAATACTTAAAAATTAATTAAAATGTTCCGGCAAAAAAGCGTTATGCAGTTTTCATTGCTTTATAAGAATATGGGTAAGACAACATCTCATTGTACTACATTACCGAATCTCGACTCTTGCTCGTACATCAATACCGATTAAAGACCAAAAACATGACGACACCCAGATCTCGGTAACCAGAAGGTATTAACCCAAACCCAATACAGATTTAGATCCGTCGTGAGAAGCTCTACAAAATCTGATATATAACTTTCTGGTTCGACATACTTTTGAAATCCGACAGGGTCCTTTGAATTCTTAAATACTCATGAAGAAAATGTTTGATAAGTAAATCAGACCAGAAAAAAACAAGTTCAAATCCAAAATATACCTTGTTTTACTGCGCACATGTAATATGGGTATGCCCGATTTTTTTTCATAAATGACCCATTTTTCCTAGGAGAACTAGTCTCTATTGCTCATTACCGAACTAGTTTATACAGTTTTCATTGCTTTACAAGAATATGGGTAAGACAACATCTCATTGTACTACATTACCGAATCTCGACTCTTGCTCGTACATCAATACCGATTAAAGACCAAAAACATGACGACACCCAGATCTCGGTAACCAGAAGGTATTAACCCAAACCCAATACAGATTTAGATCCGTCGTGAGAAGCTCTACAAAATCTGATATATAACTTTCTGGTTCGATATACTTTTGAAATCCGACAGGGTCCTTTAAACAAAAGTCATCATAAATCAGGATGGCAAATAAACTTTGTCAACTGAGAAATGAAGCATCTGCACACAATCTCCTCACATATGCGTTGTTGAAAACTGTAGTTTTTCTGCCATATATACTATGGAAACGTGCAAACATACTCCGCCTGAAAAATTTACCGCAGGATAAGTTTTCATATTAAAAATATTTTCTTCAAAATTTTTGATAATAGTGTGAAGCTACAAAACACCATTGTTATCGAATGTAATGAATCCGAAAATTCAATCACGCTCCAGCGCAACAGATCTCTTTTTAAAATTTCATTCTGTCACATACCAGTCGATGACTGATATGTGATCATATGGAAAAGATGCGGTTAATCCATGTATTTTTTCGTTTTTAGCAAGAAAGTTTTTGTGCCTAAATAAGAACAACATGTGATTTCGTTTTCTGTTATATTTTTTCAGACACATACCAAGATGTTTCTACTATTGAAACGTCACTAAAATGCGTATAATTTTCTAGAAATCAGAAAAATCGTGACTTAAGAGAACCCCCCCTCTCCCTCTTTTTTGACTCTCTTGAAAATCGGGGAAGCCGCTGCCTGATCGAAGTGAAATTTATACCAGAGATAGAACAACGAAAAAGAAAATCCATGTATTTTTGCCAAGATTTTTTTGACTGTTTCTTGTTCATGTTCTTCTGTGGAGTTTCTGTAAAACTCTAGTTTTCATCAGGTCGCATTACGACCTCTCGAAAAAATGGTCCAGTCGAGGTGTTTTACACCCTATCTCAGCTTCATTTTTTTTCTTTTCGAAAATATACTTTCCTTCGCGAGATATGCGAATATGCTGAAAGTCATGCAAAAAAAAGTTAGTTTTTTTCACTATTTTTGCCTGATTTGTCAAAAAGGAGGGAGGGGGTACCCTTAATGAGTGAGATCACTTTTTTTCTATGCTATTAATTATATTAATTAGATTTAGAAAGTGATTTCAATGTGAAACAGAGAATTTGTTCTTTTCTTACATTTTAGATACCGTTTATTATTTCGCATCACTTTCTAATTGAAAATGATTGCCTACTGTAGGGAGAGAAATAGACTGACGAGGGAACCTTTTCAGGTGTCAAACTCCGTTTTCAATGATCTAATGCCAGTTGATAGAGGACAGTGTTCTAGTTAAAACCCTAAAAGGATTTGTGCACATGGTACTTCTTTGAAGAGTAAAGAGTGGCTTTTTTTGTTTCGCTGGAAAAACAGGCACAAAAATGATTGGCCAACCATCTTAACAAACCATTACTTTGATGGAATAACTGTTATTTACATAGAGAATCAATGACATCACCGAAACAAACAAATTAAACAAATTGTAAAGAGTG